ATAAGACGAAAAATTATAAATGGCTGGCCTTATGGACTGGAAACGCTAATTTTCATTAGTTGTTTAGTGCCACGATTTTCTGGAGAATGTGTTTTTATATAATATATATCAAAAGTGAAAGTTAATTAAAACGCCAGTTGCACTCACGGTTCTTCAGTCCTCTTCTAGATATTGCAAACAGAAATTTTGGCGACGTTCCTGCTATTTTTTGGATGCTTTCCATTTTTTTTTGCCACATATTTGATTATTTTTGTTCTCCAAAGTTTGCGCTTCTGTCCTTCTCCACATTGCTTCTTTCTTATGTTTTACCCACAAAAAAACACATTTCTGAATATTCTTCACCTTTTTTCAAAAGTGAACTCCAGCTTCTAGTCGTCTGACCTTTGACACCATACGCAGCATGCCTGTTTTGCACTTTCTGCAGAAATCAGATCTTTCTTGCACCTTTTGAATACCTTCAAGAAACCGAAGAAATTAAAACTCTTATCGATTGAATGAGTAAGAAAAAGTTTTTCTAACAAAATATATTCCGGATCACCTGAGCAGAGACTCTGAAATTTAAACTGATTGTTTATTTAAGTTTTAGGAATGTTTTTTTAGGAATATTTGATCGGAATTTATAAATTTAAGTGAAAAGGAAAATAGTATTCATTAAAATATTTTTGCGAGAAAGAAAATAAATGGTCTTATAAAATATTTGGAAAATATTTTAATAGATTTTCTTATTCTCCAGTAATTATTGCATTGGAATTGGATCAGAAAAAACTATTTCAACAAATGCTTTAGGAGAATTTATAAGCAGAATGACATGAAAAAAATGATTTCTAAAGAAACCTTTATTTATTCATTTATTATAAAGCCGACAATCATGATGAATCTCATCTGTTGAATAAATATGATTATTATTCGTTTGTATAGGATCGTTCGTGTAGAAAATGAATGTGCACCTGTAGTCTCAATTAAATTTCCTTGTCATTATTGTAGCAGTACCTGAAAATCATGGACGTACTTCAGGAAAATTTGTAACAAATGCGCAACAAATAACAAAACGCCTGGATAAATGTGATTATTTGATTTGAAAAATTGTTAATCGTTGACGTTGTAGAGAATATGGTGATAAATCGGAATTTGGATGTGTGAAATGTGACGTAAACTTACAACCAAACCACTTTTTTCATAATTTCATAATAGCACCCCTAGGGACACTAATGAAATAAAAATATGCGGATAATGAAGAAGAATTTATACCTGTTAAATGAAACAGTTTTTTATTTTTTCCCACATAAAAATGTGCATCTTTTATACTTTTAGTACAGTTTGTGTATCTGTAACCAGATTACCATTTTCGTCCTTACAGGATAATGCACCAAGCTTAAAGCGTTGAGTCAGAAGGTTGACTTTTTGATAAAAATTACGAGCATCATTCCTGTTTCTACATACCTCGATTTCTTCTCGCTCACGTCTTATCTGATCTCGTTTCTTCCATCTGAATAGGCATCTCTTCACCTTTCTCATCTCCCAATATTGTTCACACTTGGTTCGGGTAAAGAGTCCACTTTCTTTGCAGCAATGTTTGGCGACAATCCTCATCGTATCATTGGTTTCGTCATTGGGGAGGTAGGAAACCAAGGCTATCTTCCGCAGTTGTGTGTAGGAAGTGAGAAATATGTCACCATTGTCTACCGAAATTATGGAGATAGGAGTGTTGTTTGTTTAATCGGCTAAAGAATTGAGCAGCGAAAACTTCCTCTGTCTCTCATGATCGCAACTTACCGATGTCAAGTTTTTTCTGTGCAAGGAAGCGTACTTTATTGGTGGTACTAAGCTATATGCAGACCTTAGCTGCTACGATGTACCTGAAGAAGTCGATATTTAGACCACAGAATAAACGTACTTTCAACACACTTAAAGCGTGTCTTGATCGGACACGATAGCCATGTTGCTTTATAAATGTCTTGGTGTAGAAATCTGGTGTTACATACCACGCTTTGCATCGCAGCAATTAGCTTCAGACCGTTTTCTCTCTTCCGACCTTTGCGTTGAAATCCCCTAGAACAATTTCAGCGTCGTGGGCGGAACTGGGGTCATATATTTCCTCGCGTCTCACGTGGATGGTATATTTAGACAAGTCATCCTTTTCTTCTGACAGCGTGTGAGGGTAAATTAGGGGAAAGTTGAAAAATGTTCCTTCGATACGGATTGTAGCAAGCCTCACGTTTTGCTTGATTCAGAATCAATAGAGATTATAATATAATAATTAATAAAACGCAATTGCATTTTACCCGTCAAATAATTGGAAATAATTTGAAAATTTTTACTATATTACTGAAATCTTCATCGGAAACATTATTAATAGTTTCCATAAAATTTTCAATATTTTCATGCTGATGCACTTCATCCTCTGAGCTTAATACACTTGAACTAGTGTTTCAAGTGAAGGAAGTGGAAAAGTCAGTTTCATTGTCGCTCGATGATCCTCTTAAAATCTGCAATTTTCATTTATTTACTACAGAATTTTTTAAGTTAAGTTTTAAAGTAAATAATTACATTTAATAATTCAGACATTTCATAGGAATTTTTATATTTTATTTTTTTTATTTTTTTAAATGTAAGTTTTTTCAATTATTCTTTTAGCGCCAAAATTATTCGCAAAAAATAAAACCAAATTTTGTAATCAAACACAGCTGACGTATATGATGCGTTGCCATAATGTGTCAAACCTTCGTTGTTCTTCAACCGATTTTGTTGAAATTTGAAATATAAATAAACTAAATATTTATAAAATAACTAGCTGACCCGGCGAACGTTGTTTCCCCTTGCAATTAATTTTGCTGGCGTTCGTTGCCTTGCTCTTGACTTTCATTAGCACGTGTAATTGTATCCTGGTTTCTTACATCTTCATTGTTTTCTGCCGATCTATTTAACCGACGGTTCTGGAGTAATTGTGAATTCCGAGTCCGTCGACCAATATTTCCTCCTCGTCCACGAAGACGTGGCATTGTTTTTTGTACGATATTTATATCTTTATATATATAATTCTTCTTTTTTGTGTGTTGAATTTTTGAATTTCGCTGGATTTACCAGGAATACCACCACATAACTTAAGATTAAAAATTGGCTCACCTATAATTATGCTGCGGAATTTAAATGCACTTAAGCTATGCAGTTTTACAATTCATTTTAGATTTTAAAGTTTTTAAACAAATCAAAGTAAGCATGAATAAATTTTAAATTTTTAATATAAATGTATATGGATAGCAAAAAATAAAAAATTGATTGAAAAGACATTATCCAGTGGGCCAAATTGTGAATCTAAACCTTCCTTGAATCCACTTGAACACACTCAAAAAATTTCATCAAAATCGGTTCAGCCGTTTAGGAGGGGTTCACGGTCAACACACGTACAGAAGAATTATATATATAAGATAAAGTGATATATTATCACTTGTTGAATTTGTTGTTGAAATAAATAAGGTATTTTAAGGGTCATATTTTGCACAATTATTTAGTAACTTTTGGGGCCTAAAACATTATAAAACATAGAGGGCGCAAGACAAATTTTTGTTTTTTGTTAAGTCTTGTCATTTGGCTGTTAGTAGGAAAAATTTTATGAAAAAACTCGAACATCTTTTTTGGGTATCGCAGATCGAAGAGAAAATGGCCATTGAAAATTGCTGACTTTTTGTGCCATTTCACTTATAAAATTGTGTTGGTAATTAAAATTGAAACATTTTTTACACATAACGAATAACAATATCCTAAGCTTTAAAAAAAGATCATTTTTGAATAAGTATTGAAAGAGTTATAAGGGTTTAAAGTTGAGCCAATTTTTGCAAAATCGCAACATTGCTAAAATTGCATAAAACTGCAAATAACTTAAGAACTAACACAGCGGAACACGCCCATTTTTTCATAAAGTTATGAATTATGTACTTAATAAATGTATATTGTTCAATAAGAGTTAAAAGTTTTTTTTAACGATAATGAACGATTTTTTATGAAAATTTTGTATGGGGAGTGTGATAGTGGGCGGAATATCATAAAAAAATTGGGACATATAGATTATAATGTAAATTTTTGGACACCAAAATTCAACTTTCTACCTATCATAGTTTTTAGGAAAATAAATGCTCCATTTTCAACCTAAAGTTTGGAGTAGTTCCGGTAGACTGATTGGCCTCAAATCAGATTTAAGAAAGACCATCTCAAAACCTGTATTTTAGGAAAATTTCATATAAATATCTCTACTAGATGAAAAATGGTAAATTTCTGTTTTGCCACACTGTGCTCCATTTTTATTTTGTGTTTATTTAGAATTAAATTACTTTCATTGGCTTTGCCCAAAGATATAAGTGAAGTTGGTGAAGAACTAGGAAATACGATAAATGCAAATAAATGAGTAAAATAGGTAAAGGTGATAGAAGAACTTGAACTAACAAAAAGAAAGTTAGATCTATAAATGTCTCTATCGTCTTATTATTGTCTAAAGCATCTCAGAAAAACTCAGATCTTATCTCCTTATCAAATTCAGAAACAAATTTCAACATTGATAAGTTAAACTTTCATGAGAATAAAAAGAATCGTTGCTAACGCTTTAAGAAAACATTCAATAGCCATTATAGATTTTATGGATGTTAATAGATGTTAGCACCAGGAGCAGCGAACTTGAATCAGAAGCTGATAAATTTTTGGACAACTATTAACCACTCAACGTGCAAAATAAATTGTAAAATTATGTTTGATTGTTATTGATATTAAAATGTTTTAAATAAATGTTTTAATAAAAACAAATATTTCACAAATGGCGGCGATCAGCTGTGCACACTTTAGGTTATGTTTACATCCTAGCGTAAATAGTTTCCTGCATAAAGTTCCTTATTCCCTTTTATATTAGATGAGAAGTAAAATTATTAAAATGAAAAACATGAATAAATTATTTAGTATATTTATTTCTTTGTATTTTGAAAGAATTGTAGATCAAAAGTTTTAATAATATTTTAATTAATTTTCTGCTGACCAAATCTATTGAAAACATTTTACCAAATTCTACATTTTTCTTCTTTCTTATTCATGTTACTACCCAGAGGACACTCATAAACCTTAGAGAAATCTTCCATATTACTTAGTGTACCCAAAACTCTATATTTGTCAATAGTGTGTCTGTTGGTTAGTTCCTCCCAATAGTGTTTTTCGTTATACGATGCACAATACAATTGTGCAAATCCTACAAAGAACAGTTGTTCTGGTGATAAATTTAGACCAGGCATGTCTTCATCTTTAAATGTTGTCATCAGATCACCTTCCTTATTCAATTCCTTCATATATTTGCGGTAAGAATTAAGTGCGGCACGAAGTCCACCATTATCTGCTATATTCTCATTTTTGCTTAGATATCCGTTAATTTTGCGATTTATTTCTGGTATCAAGTAGTCATTAAAATGTTGTTCATAACAATCTGTTCGATTATTGAATACTTCTTCAGTTTCTTCCGTCCACCAATTGCGTCTATCACCATTGCTATCGTAGTTTGCGCCCGTTGAAACGAAACCGTGTGTAAATTCATGTCCCACAAAACTACCTAACGTACCGAATTTCAAAGAATTCGGCCAGGATTTATGATAAACTGGAGGATGTAAAATACCAGCCATTATATATATAGACTTGTCGATATGATAGTAAAAAGCATTGACTTGCATGCCTATCATAAATATAAGAGGCTTTGTTTCATTATGAATGTCTTCATTATGTAGACCAAGATATCGGTTCATAAATGTTCTAAATTTCTTTAAGTTTAAATTGTTTTGTTCATAATTGTCTGGATCAAAATTTAGGTTATTTATTTCGCGAATGAGACGTTCAGACAAACCTGGGTCCACGAATTTTCCAATTTGTGATTGCATTGTGGATTCTTTTAATAAAGCTTCAGTGCGTGTTTTTTCATCTAACCATTCTGCTTGTTCTATTTGTTGGCGTACACTTTTCTGTATTTCTTTAACTAATTTCGTAACTTCAGTTTTTATTCCCTCATTAAAATATTTCTAAAAATGAATGTATGTATATTATCTGTTATAGAATTATTTTATAACATATGCAAAATCAGTGACGCTTACCTCTAAATAAAATTTATCGATCAAAAATCGAAAAGTATACTGTATATCAATGAGACAGTACTCCTTTTGAAATTCCTTCTTTTTAAGTTTAGCGTCCATTCCGTATAAAAATTGGAGTGCTAAATAATTCGCTGCAGCTTCTTTGTGTTCATTGCAGACGGTGTTCAACTTATTATAAAGAGAAGAAAAATGATAATAGTTTGTAACGGATTCATTGAATTTTTGACCCATCCAAGCTATATCAAAGTAATCTCTCCAAAATGGTTCTACATCTACTTCAGCAGACTCTTCAAATTCATCCATTGGTTTTAATATTGCTCGCCAAAAATCAAAGATTTCATCTACGATTTGTGATATCTTCCCCTCTTCTACTCCATATACACTTAAGTAGTGTCGAATACTCTTTTCATTACTTATGTAACTTTGCGTCGTATTTGAAGCTATATTATCACTGTTAACTACATAATCAAAACCTAAATCTTGTTTTTTGAAATAGGGTGGAAATGGATATAATGAACGGATATCTTCCTTAATTAATCCATCAACATCGTAGTTGGTAAGATGAGCACTCATATTAAGCCAACTAAAATTGGTTGATTGCCATGTTTCATCAATAGCTGGAAAACCCCCAATCGATTTGATAACATCAATATATACTTGCGACATTGTTGTTGGGTATAAATCTGCTGATAAGCACGACTGATAAAACTGCTGGGCTAGTTTAAACTCATTAGCATATTCGTTTGTTAAGTTTTCAACAGAATCATTTAATATCTTTTCTACGGCATCGTTTAATTTATACTTAATATCTCTACCATTGCTTCGTTTGTGTTCCGTGTACCGTTCTTCAATAACATTTTTCCAATTTCCGCAAGCATACTCATAAAAATCATCACACGGATTCACACTTTCATTCATAAATGTTTTCATTAACTTTGCATATTCAATTCGGTACTGTAAATCTGTATTTTCTGGCACATTTATAGACACGTCATTCTCGATTACGTTGTTTGATCTCACAAAATCAATTGAGTCCGTCGGTTTCGAGATAACCCACATTACCTGGACTAAGAGCAGTAATACAAGCATGTGATAAATTATTGATTTCACGGCTTTGCGAATGATACTTTTGATACTAAAGTAATCTAGACACAGAGCAACGTAGTTTATAGAATCATCTAACACAATTAAGAGTCAAATTCTAACTAATTGAAATCAAATCAAAATCAGCTTTCACGAACTTTATGCTTTCACTTTGAAGATCTTGAACGAGTACTTATCTGTGCAAGGGTAAATCAATCAAAGATCATTAAGTTCATTATCTTTGCAAGTATTAGTTTCTATTTTAGTGTTGTGTCTACAAATTGGCACAAATATTTTATGGATGAGTCAATCAATTCATCCACTTATCAGTTTACTAATCCAGAATTATGTAGAACTGAACTTGACTTGTGCTAAAACTAATCACAAGTTAATTAAAAAGATTAATTTCGAGTTGTTGAGCAGAATTCTCGCCGGAGAGCAAGATAGTCTTGTGTTTAACAATTTGCGCTTAGAATCAAAATATTGTCCTGATGCCGGAGGGATTGAAGTATTAAACCATTTCATAGCAGTACTATATATATATATATATATATATATATATATATATCAAAATCTGCCAAAATAGAAAAAAATTAATTTGTGTTTTAATTTTGGTTGGTGTTCAATGCATTTAATTTCATTCATTTTAGAATTTTCTCTAAAATCCAAATTTCTATTTACAAGTTCAACTCCATTATATTTGTTTTGTATAAAAGTAAACAGCACTGCATTATTTTGTAAGTTTTCTAAAAAATTTTCTAAAATTTTAACGAAATTGAAATTTCGCAAAAATTTAGCGAATCTTAAATTCTTATAATTTTTTAAATTTTTTATTAAAAAATTTATTATTTTCTAATTTTTTTAAAGCTTAGGATATTGTCATTATTTGTATATATAAAAAATGTTCAATTTTTCTAACAGTAAGATTTTGAAAGTGAAAATGTGCAAAAAAGTACTATATTTTTATGGCTTTTTTCACTTCCATCTGCGACACCCCAAAAAAGTATCCAAGTTTTTCCCTAATATTTTTTCTACAACAGAAAAACGTTAATAGATCACAAAACTTTGTTCTTCATACTCTATCTATTTCTATTTCAGATCTCAGAAATTACTGAAAAATTATGCCAAATATGACTTTCAATGAACCTCAGATATTTGAACAAAAATTTCAATATGTAATATTATAATGGCATTTATTATACAGTAGCGCTCATGGAAACCATATCACCTATCAAATATCACATTTTTATCAAATTTTCCATCAAAAATTTAAAACTATTTTTGTGAAATACATAAATGTTTATTTGACTTTTGTATGTATTTCCCATCATTTTATAGAATTTTTGATATTTGACTTGAACTTCTAATTTTTTGAAAATATAAGGAAATATATGTACATACATATCCCTTTTTCTGAATACTTAAAAAATCTGCTTCCACTAGGAAAATAATTTTTTTCTTATTGTTGTCTATTTTAGATACTTTAACAATTTAATGTTGTATTCACAAAACATAAAAATAATAAAAAATAAAAAAAATTAATATTTGGTAGAACCATCTCTAGCCTTATGTACCGCATTAATCTGAGATGGCATGGAGTTTACAAGACTTTGAAAATTTTTCAAGGGAATTTCGTCATGCCAAACTTTTTCTATAGCTTTATTGAGTTCTCTGCATTTCGTCTTCATTTGGTTGATTTTTTTTCCAATTTTCAATTCTCAATCGGATTAAAGTCTGGACTTTTATCTGGTCAAAAGCACTTGAATTCCTTCTTTTTGAATGAAATTCTTCACCTTAAATAAAAAAAATTATTTTCTTTTACAAAAATGTTTCTTCAATAAAACTTTACTGTTTTTACATAAAAATCTTATCGGTTTTGCGCGGTGCCAAGGAACGAAATCCTCTTGAAAAAGTGAAAAATTTTAAAAAGACAAATGGTCTTCCATTGATGGTATTAAATACTGTTTTAAGATGTTAAAATATTTTTCAGCGTTAACCGTACCATCTGCAAAATGTAACTCCTCTAGTCCGAAATATGAAAAATAGGCCCAAACAATTTATGAATGTGAATGCTTCTTTAAAACGTTCGTTGCTTCTTCGGTGAATGAACCGGACCCCAACAGACTTGAACAGGTTAAATTTGTTTTCATCTGACCAAATAATCTGTTTTAGTTCAATTCTGATGGGGTTTAGTCCATTTTTTGTCATCTTATTTTATCTTATGACTGAGAAATGGTGTTTTCGCAGGTTGTCTAGCAAACAAGCCGATATAACGGAATCACTGTTGAACGGTTTCAACATTTATTTCACCTCCAGTTGCATTTCTTAACTCACTCCGCTACTCAAATGAACTGACAAACGGACATTCAAAACAGTAGGTTTGCATGGGTCTCAGAGAGATAGACGTTTAAGTAAACGATCCCCTTTACAATTTGACTTTGTTTTAGGGCCGGTTTCCGGCAGTAATTATAATTTAAAATTTTGCTAGTGATGTGGTTTCTAAAACAATAAATTCTGAATTTAATAATATAGATAATACATATAATATATTACATATATTAAATATTTGGGAGTACTAATGACGTCGAACATGAATTTTGCAAATCACACTCGACAAAAACTTTCCGACTCAAAAGTGGCACTAAATAGTACCTGGAAACAGCTTTTTAGTAGAAGAAGTGTGTGTCATAGCACGATATATAAAATGTTCGTAGCAACTGTCAGATCGATTATGTGTTACGCAGCTCAAGTTTGGGGTTATCTACATTCCGATATTGCTGAAAAATTACTGCGGTTTTATATAAAGAAAATTTTTCAAATTACATCAAAATACACCATCCTATGCAATTCATCTCGAATCGGGGCTGCCAATATTATATACATGTTGACTATATCAATAAAGTAATGAAAATGCCAAATCACCAGCTGCCCAAAATCGTTGTAAAACACCTACTCCAATTCAGATTGCAGTTCTTTGCTCAATGCAATGCACTTGCTGAGGAATACAGCAGTTCCCCTTATCCTACTGAAACAGCTTTGTGACGTCAATGGCAAACACAAATACTCCAAAATATTGACCTCAGCTCGAGAACCCAATTTGAAAACCAAGCACGTGTAAGCAGTACAAGAAATATATATAAGTTGTTGGAGTATAATCTAAACAATCAAAATTATTTCAACGAAAAGTTTGACACCGCGACGATATCATTAATATTCAAGGCACGGACAGAACTGATTCAAGGCAAGGACAGCTGAACTAAACCATACGTACAAACAACTAATACTTACTGCACCCTATGCAATGTGTATGAAAAGGAAGACATCATTCATCTCATGGGGCGCTGCGCTATCCTGTGTGAAATTAGATGGTTCCACTGGGGCAAAATCATATTTACTACATCTGAATGCTATGCTTTTTATGGGAAAGTTTACAATACAGACGTGAAGTCTGTCAATCCTGACAATCCTGATGGATTGTAGCGAGTGATTTCGAAATGTAATTATTAACTTGTATTATGTATATCTGTTATTAGTATTAATATACTTTCTTCTTTTGTTTTTATTATTATTTTTATATAAATTATGTATCTAATTCTCATATCCTTTTTTCGGGTTTTCTGAATTTTAAATTTCTTCATGATTATAGCATTATATTAGTTATTATAATCACGTATATTATTGCACTATGTTCGAATCGCATTTAAATTTTAATTAACACAGACAACTTAATAGTTATTGTCTGAACAGATATAACAGATTATATAACAGATTAATAAAAAATAAATGAAGTTATTAATTAATTATCTTTATTTAAGTTCTGAAAGTTTAAGAACAACATCCTCAAATATGCAAAAACAAAAAGTGATTGTTCATTTCTGGATGGATTTACACAAAATTAAAATCAATTTGAATCAATTTGAAGTAATATAATTATTATCATCATATGCGCATTTATATTCTCTTTGGTTCATATATTCTCACTCATACCGCTCTGAAAATTTAAGTGAAAAATTGATTCTGAAGCAAGTCTACTATTAGACCCGCAGTGTGATCAAAAAATTTTTTTCTGATTCACACTCTATGTATTAAATACTCATTGATTGAACTGATACAATTTTAAAGACAATTATTTTGGTACAATTATATTAAACTCGTACACCGTCGAACTTTTGTTATGATCACCTTTAGCAGGTATATGGGTCTATCTTTAAAATTATTAAAATTAAAAACATGAATAAATTATTTAGTATAATTATTTTTTTGCATTTTGAAAGAATTGTACATCAAGAGTTTTAATAATATTTTAATTCATTTTCTGCTGACCAAATCTATTAAAAACATTTCACCAAATTCTGCATTTTTCTTCCTTCTTATTCATGTTACTGCCCAGAGGACACTCATAAGCCTTAGAGAAATCTTCCATATTGCTTAGTGTACCCAAAACTCTATATTTGTCAATAGTGTGTTCATCATCAAGTTCTTTCACATAGTGTTCTTCTTTATACGACGCACAATATAATTGTGCAAACCCTACAAAGAACACTTGTTCTGGTGATAAATTTAGACCAGGCATGTCTTCATCTTTAAATGTTGTCACCAGGTCACCTTCCTTATTCAATTCCTTCATATATTTGCGGTACGAATTAAGTGCGGCACGAAGTCCACCATTATCTGCTATATTTTCATCTTTGGTTAGATATCCGTTAATTGTGCGATTTATTTCTGGTATCAAATAGTCAGTAAAATGTTGTTCATAGCAATCTGTTCGATTATTGAATACTTCTTCAGTTTCCTCCGTCCACCAATTGCGTATATCACCATTGCTATCGAACCGTGCTCCGACTGTATCAAAACCGTGTGTAAACTCATGTCCCACACCATAACCTAAACCACTGAATTTCAAGGAATTCGGCCAGGATTTATGATAAATTGGCGGATGTAAAACACCAGCCATTACATTAATTGAGTTGTCGAAAGGAAAGTAAAAAGAATTGACTTGCATGCCTATCATAAATTCAAGAGGCTTTGTTTCATTATTAATGTCTTCGTTATGTAGACCAAGATATCGGTTCATAAAAGATATAAATTTCTTTAAATTTATATT